TCGATGATTGAAACAGCTGTAGTTATAACATTACGTTACTTATTAACTAAAATATGTATGTTACCCATCGTGGATGAGTATAGGCCGACCACAAGCATTTTCCAGACAACTCTGTCCTTGATAATCCTTTCCAATTGCTATTCATTCTTTCCATATCTGCTTAGAATTCCCGACGTAATGTGTTCTTAATTATTCCTCTTCTCAGTTTCCATTCATGATTCCAAGTTAGTGAATACTTCGTGATGCAGTTTGATGGTGTCAACAATGTATCTCTTATCCACCTTCCAGAGTCTTTTCTTAATTTCCTCTTCAATTGGAAGCCGGTCTGTCCTCTCACACAGTGGGTTGTCGCTGATAGTATCAGGTCAATCAACATTGAGTATATTGTGTAGATAATCATTTATAAATACTTGTACATCTTTGATGATGGTTTTGGTGGCTTTCCAAGTTTCAGTCCAGTACAGTAGAACTATCTTGTCTTGCCAACCCTCGCCTTTACGTCTGCATAGGATGCTTCTTGTTCATCAATGATGCTGCTGTCCAGATATCTGGAACATCCCACATCTCCCAGAGTTTCTCCATCAAGTGTGATTGAGTTGATGTTCTCCGTGTTGTATTTGAGGATCTTGGTTCTTGCCTTATGTATGTTGAGGCTTAGTGATGCAGAGGCTGCTGCTACACTAGTTGTCATCACCTGCATTTCTTGGTGTGTGTGTGTGTGATAGAATAGCTAGGTGATCTGCGAAGTTCAAATTGTCTAGCAACATCCAAGCTTTCAATCGTCTGATAACGTTTCTTACTTGGAATGTAACTGTCGTCTGTCTTCTATATATGACTTCTCAGCGTAGTCCGTCGTACAAATTGTTCATGATGTTGATGACCTTCTAAAGTACACCATAGTGTCGAAGAAAGTTCCATAAGGTTCACCTATCCACACTATTAAGGATGTGGATGTATAGTGACGAGTTCACTCGGTCGATTGTTCACCAATGATCTGTAGTGTCGTGATTTGATTGGTACAACTGATCCCACTCTTGATTTGTCTGATGACCAGCCATCCTGATTTCTTCGATTGTTGGTGGAATGACGTCTATAGGAAGGTCTGAAAGTGTTGCTTTGATGTCCGGTTGATTCAATGGAGCCGACCTATTCAAGAGTTCTTCAAATTATTCTACCTAGATGTTTCTTTGATCTTGAATCTCAGTGATTGGATTACCTTCTTGATCATTCACTCCGGTTTACTATATTTCCTTGCCAGTTTCTTCATCGTGTCATATAGTTGTTTCTTATTTCATTCTCTTGAAGCTTTCATGCTGTCATTGCTAAACCTTCTACATATTTCTGCTTGTCAGCTCTGATGCTCCCCTCACTTGCTTGTTTGCTTCTATGTATTCAGCTTGTGCCTTGACTTTCTTTGTTCTTGTTCGACTGTTGTTAATTGCTGTTTTCTTGTTCTCCCTTTTTCGAATCTTGTCCAAAGTCTCAATAGAGATCTATTCTTTATGATGATGCTTGTTGTGACCCGGAACCTCCTGACACGTTTAAATTAGTGCTACTTTGATCCCTTTCTAGTTATCCTCCATAGTAATTTCATATTCTTTGAAAAGATGTTGTAAGACGAGGAAAATGTTGTTGACAGTTATCTTGAATTCGTTGAGTTTGTTAATATCTCGTGGGAAGGTTGTATTGGGCCTTTGTAATGCCGTTTCTTCAGCTGTCCAACCCTTCTTTAGCTTCACTTTCATCTTAGCCACAACCAAGTGGTGATCTGAAGCTATGTTAGCTTCTCCCTTGGTTCTCATGTCATTTAATGTCATTCTGAATTTTTTACTGAAACAGATATGATCTATCTGGTTCTATTTGTTTTGGTCCGGTGAGACCCATGTAGCTTTGTGTATGTGTTTGTAAGGGAGTATTGTGCCAACCAACTCTGTCCTGGACAGTCCTTTCCAGGTATTCTCAAATGCTATTTATTCTTTTGACACATACCTTAATTTCCTGAAGTAATGTGTTCTTTAGTGTTTTTTGGGCAATACAATGCCGCCTATAACAAATTTTTTAAATGCAAATAGATTGGCCATTCTCGTTCCTTCCATGTCGTCCCATGTTGTCTTCATGCTCCGTTTCGACTTTGGCGTTTAGGTCTCCATCAGGATGTTCAGGTCCTTTCCTGGACATTTCTCTGCTATCAACTGAGGCATCTCGTGAAACTGGTCTTTAGTGTCATCATTGTTATCATTGGTAGGTGCATAGCACTGGATAAAATTCATTGTGATTCCCTCCTTCTTAGTTTTGAATGATGCTTTGGTGATTCTTAATCCAAGAAGTTCCTATCCTATAAGTGCATTTTGTGCTTCTTCGGAAAGTATAAGATCAACTCTTTGAGTGTGTGGGTCATTTTATTCTTCATGATCAGAATACACCAACATCTGTCCAGAATCTGATCTTTTCTGTCCAACTTGAGTCCAGTGGGTTTTACTGATTCCGAGAACCCCTAAACTATATATCCCCAATTCCATGGCTATTTAATTAGTCCTCCCGGTATCTCATTCTGTAAATCTTTCGGAATTTGAACATATAAATTAGAATGTTTTATTTGATGTACAATTGCACTTCCATGAGAGTCAATAACTTTTGAACAAACTTATTCTGTTGTAAACTATTCTTTCTGATTCCGACTATGAATGACAGTTTATATATATATAAGTTGAATCCCAGGAGCATAATTACATTTATTTTCATATAAAATATCTAAAAATCAAGTATATAATTAGCTTGGGAGAGATTTCTTTTAAACTTATTGGAGCAACGGGTCCAGGATATATCAAATAAATCAGTAAAAGGAAGAGAGTAAATATGTATTTGAACAAACATGTGTGATGGAGTAAGCACACGAGTTTATAATGTAAGACACTATTTATTAACTATGATCATTTAGAACCAATAAGACGACAAAAAAAAGTAAACGAATGAAATCCAAACATTTATACGTCAATGAGAATATAAACAACTGATCACTCTTTTGAGTAGGGATACTTATTAAATGCGTTTTTTATCCATTCATAGGGTTAACATTAATTGCACGGCCATTTATTAAAATTTTTTTCGAGTGAACGTTTTTTCATCCCCATTTTCCAATAATTTTCATGCTATCAGTTTAGGGGTTGTGGAGATTGTTAAGTTTTTGATTGAAATCATGAGACAACTGTAGCTAGACCATCATGGAAAACTTGGAATCACTGGACGGACGTTTCGTCCTAGTATGGGATTCCTCAGCAGTGCGCATCCACGATCCCGCACCCCGCGAGATTAGAACCCAGAACCTATCAGTTTCGCACCAGGCGCTTAACCAACTAGACTACTGAGCCGGCATACAATGGTGTTAATGTCTAACCTCAACCAATCCACTGCTGAGAAGTCCCATACTAGTATGAAACGGCCGTCCAGTGCTTCCAGGTTTTCCATGGTGGTCTAGCTACAATTGACTCATGATTTCAATAAAAAATTTTCATTCTGTTTCGTTCAATCAAATAGCTAGTTTTAAGTTCGTTATAATTGGTTGATATAAAATGTCAGGACTTGACGATAGAGCGTATTTTCTTCCAATTATGGCCGTGCAATTAATGTTAACCTATTCATAGCAAGGTTGTTGGTATGTGTACTTCAGTGGAACAGGATTGTTACACTTTCTTTGAGTCTGTTGTAAAATCATGAGCAGCTATACAATAAAATATTCATTATTAAATAATTCATGCCCATTTAATTACTAAAATTGCAAAGTTACCTATTTGGTTTTGTATATCCTCATTACTTATCACTAATATGATCAAGTGGGACGTGAAAATCACATTTGTCTAAGAATAGATCACAGAAATGAAAAAAAATTAAATCATTTTAATGAATACGGACATAACTAAATGCTTTACAGTATTTTTCTTAGCCATTTTCATCAAAACTTCTTCTGTTCAAAACAAGTTAGCGATTGCCCTGTTCTTTCTTGATCTGAGAAATTTTCACAGAAAATTATACTAATTTCTAGGTAGTTTGGTAATAGAATCCAGGTTGCCTGTTTCATCCTATCTGAAACTGGTTATTTGGATGTCCCTGTACTCATGTTAATATTTACATAGGACTTTGAATTAAAACCTTTCGCTCCAAAAGCCAAATCACGATTTAATTCTTCCCATTTATTAAAAAAAGTTGCTTATCTACTTTTTATTTATCCTTCATTATTTATATATTTAGACAGATTATTCAAATACTTTGTATCATAATAATATAAATGTTATCATTTTACTTTTATTAGCCATACCATTACTACTGCACTTGTAATCTTTCTGTCAGTTCTCACCCCTTATTTACTCTGGTAATATTGACTTATTATCCAAAGTGATTAGGTTTAAAATTGTGTTCACATTATTGTTATTACTCTTATTATTACCCTTGTCCTCCCTTTCCCCATTTCCAGTCTAGTTGACCTTTTATTTTTATGTATAAATGTTCTTAACAAGTGTCCTATATGTGATTAGATTGTTCTAAATGTATTGCGCTAATATATCATCACATAGTTCAGATAATCTTCATCTTCTTATTACATTATCGAAAGTTATCAAAGGGACTAATTGTTTTGGTTTAAAAGTGTTCTGTTCATGACTATTTTGTTAACATCACCTTGAACATTTTGTAACTACTTAGCTTCGGTCGTAGAACCTACTTTCAGGTAATATTCTTCACACGACTAAGTTGCTCGACTAACAAATTTCAGCATATCAAACCAATTTTACCAACCACAAGCTGAATATGTAATATATGACAGTAACCAATCATGTTTATCCCAGTCCATCACCTGACCTACCTATGTTTTCGCAAATGGAATATACCGTATTTTTATTGGTTTTCAAGCCTTATCACTCAAGTACCGTAGGCGTTTCTGCTTTCTGATTGGTTTATCTAAAATTGACCTCCTAGTTTAATCTTATAAATAACAATGCGTCATTTGACTGGATATATAGACCTAATACCTTATGGTTGCTTTGTGGTTCGTCTCCTTGTTGTTGGTTTGCCTTGTACATTCTGAACCATATAGGGATTGTGGTAAGTGTATGATTGGTTTGTACCGTAGAAGTATAGCTTTAATTTTCCCCAAAAATGCTTTTACACTTAACGAGAATATAGTGTGGCCGAAAATTATAAATAATGATTAGATCACTTACATTAGTTTATTCGTTTAAATGCTGCCAACACTAGAATATATTGTGATAAAAAGTAATCGGATTTGTACCAGCTATAAAATGTTAAGATTGTTCAGTGCGTACTCTAGTGCCAACGAATTGACCTCCACTCAAGTGAGAGAGAAAACAGTGGTCACACTTAGAAGTATTGTATTTTGTAATTCGAATTAAGGGCGAACTAATGTTTTTAAAGACTATTTACCTACAATTGAATTTAGTTAGAAACGCCAATGTGCTAATACATTTTGACTCGGTGACATAAACTATTACAGTAAGCCCATAGAATAGTTTTTATTATTTGTCTAATTGCTGTAATTTGGACGTTTGACCCACTATACAAGATTATGTACGAGTCTCATTGGTTGTAAACACAGACAATCAACAATTTACCCACAATTGATCAACACTCAAAATATATATGAATTCTTCAACATACTTTTTGCTGTATGCTTTCTTTCTGCATGCTTGCGGATTTTATCAATTATTAACAACACACTATCCTTACAACTGGTGTTCTGGCTTTTGAATAATCTCGAGTAAATTCATAATACTAGTAGGAGATTTGGCTGGCGTAAATACTCATTTAACGGGATATTATATATTGGAGTCAAATATAGAGAAATTATCTTCTACACTATACTACCGAATGACCATGAGGACTTAACCCTTTCTAGCCCATCGAAAAACAACAAAGATAAATGAACGAGGTATTTTCCCTGGATTAAGAATTACGATGTTGAATCTTCGAAAGCTTGTACAGAAAATCCTACTTCTGACTTGACTTCTTTGACCATATAACCACCTCTATGTTGATTGGTTCGTAAGTATACTTTATGTTAACTAACCTATTAGACGTTAGAATTGATAGGTTCAATTGCTAGTCATTTGAATATCAATAGGTTCTGTTAAGTCAGCCAGGTATTATTATAAACCCACATTACAGATTGTGCCCGAGTACACACACCTGTACTTGGTAAAAGATCTGAATTTTTTATTTTAAAAAGTTAAATATGTAAGATGATTACTAAACTTCATTACTTTTTATCATTTTAGAAATCTATGATAACATTACAGCTACTAGGGAATTTTTTCACAATACAATAAGGGACCTTTGTAGTATGTATCAGTGATCTCTACATTCTCAAAATAAAATGAGACGGTTGCCTAATCCTAGCAGTCATAAAAATGTAGGACCTGGCACATGTGTATATCATTCGAAATCTCTGTACGTTCTGTTGGTGGGATATAGATTGGATTAAAGCATTCCATAAACACAGCAAGTCGGTAGGATAGATCATATGCGCTGAAATAATTTTTAATGGTTATTTCATTAAACATCACTTTCAAATTTATCAGAGATGGTCAACCTGTTGACTATTTGAGATTATTTCGCCATTATTGTTTAATATTTCTGTATTAGGATCTAAAGTTGGAAAATTACATTCACTGACTGTAACACCATGTGACACGATACCGTGTGCGTTATATAAAGGTCGAAACGCCACTGTTACAATTGAATTCAGTACCCGTAAGTTATTTAATTACATGTTTAATGCCTTTCATTCAACAATTTCGTATCACTTCTAATATGTTGGTCGTTTTAGAGTACACAACATAGATCTAATGATTATCTAGTAACTGAAACTGGTTGAATGGATAAATCAATTTCTGAACTTGGGTCGCTTTATATGCACGGAAATTATTGAAAGCCTACTGAAAGTATGAGCCAAAAAAGGATGTTCATACCGACTCATGTCAAACTCTAAATGAGTTGTAGCAAACTTAAGCGTAGATTATAACAGTTGATTTTAAAGATGAAACTTCAGCGATTACAAATACAATAATGCCAATACTACTTTGGCCATTCTAGTCCTAGTTTCTTCAAAGTTATCGAAGGTCAATAAAACAGCTCTGTATTAAGCAATCGACCAATCATATTCAAAAGTCGTGTTTAAATTATTCACTGTGAAGTGTGTTCATGTTGTAATACATGAAAATATGTATGTCATTCTTATTCACGACCACTCCAGGGATAGATGTATGTTACATATATTGTCGAGCTATACCATTTACCAATCATATCAGTGAACATATATAAATCACTAATCCCTTGAAAGGAAACTCACAAAATTTGTATTATCTGAATATGAAGAGAAAGTGGACAATGCCTGGAAAGATTTGTGTAGGATATAGTGTGAGAAAAATTTTGTACGTAGATTTATGATCCCTACTACAATATGTAAGTTTACAACACTTAGCTTGCTTTTTTTTGTTTAATAAGTAACACAGTTCAGGGATCATATCGGAATCTCTTTTACTCGGATAACAAATTGACCTCCCCCCGCTTGTATTCTCAATGACTGCTTTGGGTAACAAATACTTAGAACGTCTAGAGGATATGAAAATGAGTGAAATACTATCAAGTATTATCTAATAAATGTATGGATAAGTAAAACAATCGAATAACACAACATGACAAATAGGTATCACAATTCCACCTTAAAAACTACAGTCCTCAAACCAATTATGGCAGTTGCAAATGAAGAATATAAATTATCAACTTCCCAGATTAATAAATAAATCCATTTTATATCATTACGATGTTATGTTTTGAATTCAGACTTGTGACTAGTTCACTTTAATGGCTAATTTATTAATTTACCTAATCTGAATACATCCACTTTTGTACTATACTACTATTTCTCTCTTAATTACAGAAGAGACTGTAAAAGATGGTCATATTTCTGTACATGGAGTGATTGCACATGTACCAGTACCATTTCCACTTGACAACTCAGAATTATGCAACTTTGTCAGTCCAGTGTGTCCTTTAATTCCATCTATAGAGAACTATACACACACGTATTCTTTGTATGTTAGCACATCATATCCATCGGTAAGTTAAATCAAATTTATCGTTTACTTTGCATCACATGCACATATTTAAGAACAGTGTTTCATCTGCGGACACCTATTGTAATTAGTTAAGGATTCACCATTTGTAATACACCAAATTGTCGGTTGATAAATGTATGTAGCGTTATCGAGGAATTTGTTTTCTGGCATTATAAGCTACACACAGTGGGATGGTGGGTTTGAACCACTTAACCATAGTTTTGATAACCGTCTCACCTATTTCACCTTGTTTAAGAGATTTAAAGTGTAGTGATGGATCACACATCTCAGTTACCCACACCATGGATAGACGTTTATTCTTAACGAGCGCAAAATGGATAACTGGATCGGTATTGATGGTCGTTTTGATCCGAGCATGGTCATAGATATCAAAGAACAGTTACTGAAGTCCCGTCATATACAGTGCATTTTAGTAGTTATTTTATTATAATCGCCTCTGTACTTTTCAAACCCCCTGTATTTAAAATCCACAAACCAATAAAGGGTATCGTATTTCTAGAGCCAACTATTCACACCTTCATTAATTTTTTTAAAAAGACGGAATCTCCAGGGAAGCTAGTTATCCGTAGAGAACGTTTAACTTCTGCATCATTACAGTATGTACACCAGTTAATATACTGATATGAATTTGGCTTCGAATTTTACGTATGTAACTTTTTGTCTCATCACTCTTGCAGACTATTCCCCTTACAAGTATGCTTTTTAGGAAAAAATCTTAAACATCGTCAACATATAGCTCGGCACAAATGTGCGTTAGCCCAAGTTGCCATACGTAACTGGCACAATGTGCTGAGAATAACAAGCGATCAAAATAGTGTAGTAGCAATCATAAAAAGAAGAACTTAACCTTAGGAATATGGTTTAAAAGGACAGAGTGGGGAAACGTATATATGAAAGGATACTGAAATTCAAGATCGAGAGGAAAATGAGGAGTGGAATGCATCTATGTCATTGTAAATAGTTCTGAACCATGTCATCCGACGTCTCTAGCCAGTGATTACAGTTGGGGTTATTAACCAACAAGGTAGTCTATATCCATCAACATAGTTTAGACTAATAGTCAGTGATCTCGTTGACTGATGCCACGTTTTGGTTTAGTCGTTTCTTTCTTCCTGCCTACTCCAGCACTAACAAGAAGTGCTCGTCGAGGTAGGTGGTGGTTAAGCTTGCGTGATACATGTCCCAACCAAATCAGTCGATGGAAATTCACTACGTCATCTACCTGTTTGACACCTTCGGCAAGTACCTTATATCTAACCTCAACATTGCTTACTTGGTCATGTCATAAAAGGTGAACAATGTTTCGAAGACATCTGCGACCAAAACTTTCGAGCCTACGCATATTCTCTACTTTTATAGATCACGTTTCATAGTTATCAGATAGGAAATAGTGGATCTCTGACCAGTTTACCCGCCCATTGGTTGGTAGATTGACATCTTACCTGCGCCACAAGTGACCCAAGTTGGCAAACACCAACAGGACTTTCTGAGTCTGTATCGACATTTCATCAGACACCGACCCACCGGAGGCTGACAAAACTTACAATATAAGTGAATTGATCGGGAATTAACTACTTCACTTCTTATCACTATTTCAAGCATTGACTTAGAACAATCCTAAAGCAACATTTTGGATTAATAGGGAACTGAACGCATTCCAAACATGCTAGTGTTGCTGTTCAAGGCGTCTGAAGAGACTGGATTTTGTCACTGAACAGAACTATGTCATTTGTGTATTCTAAATTGATAAGCCTGGTAGGAGATCGACCCTCCAAAAGTTAATTAAAGAAACTTTTATTGATAGGAGGAAATCGATGCGTAAAATGGGAATACTGTGGATCCCTTTGGTTAAGAGTTCGCCATACGAACAATTTGTGGTGGTCGGTATTCGATATAATCATTAAACTTCGTATACAGTTCGTCTTGATAACCGTCACTAGATAACTCCCCAACGGTATATTAATCAGAAGGCCACACACAGATATCCAAAATTACAGATTCGTTAAACAAGCATGAAAGAGCTGTGCCGAAAGGCAAGCGAGTGAGTCAGCGAATATGAGTACGAGTGAGCGAGTTCAATTAAGCGAGAGAGAGCAATGAACATGAGTAACATGGACATAGTGAGATGTATGAATCATCGAATCAATTAAGCGGTTAGTAGTAAGGCTGGCAGCGTGAATAGATGCGTAGGCGATAGCAATGTTCAAGCATACATGTTCATACATTCGCAACAATAATAAAGATACAATGATATAGATAAGTTATTGTTGTACAGATGACTCAGTTCGTTAATAAGTTAACAAAATGACTTGATCGAATTAAATATGAAAAAACTCAATTGCACATGAGTTGCTATAAATTCCTCAAAACTATTGAACTAGTCTTTGCGTAGCTATAATAAAATAGGTGAAACTCAGTCTTTGGAAACTCGATGTGCTACAGAAATACAGCCTTTATACTATTGAGGATGCCACAGGTATTTGGAGTTTTGACAACGCTTTAACCATTAACACCTAATATGAATCGTACCCACCAAGTGTTTTAATTTACGGCAGCGAAACATGACCATTAAGAGTAGAAGATACTCGTAAGCTACTAGTATTTGACCACAGATGCCTTAGAAACATTGCTGGCGTCTGCTGGGATCACCGGGTAAGTAATAGTGAGGTTAAACGCAGGATTTAGGGAATGATGGTAAATCAGTTGATGAGGTTGTGAATCTTCATTGACTGAGATGGTTGGGCCACGTATTACGTATGCCTGAACACCAATTACCACGACGTGCAATGCTACCGGTGTTGGAGATGGTTGGAAGAAAGTTAGAAGCGGCCAAACCAGTGCTTGAAGTCACTAACTTCTAATCTGAGCCATGTTGGTAGACGCAGACTACTTGGTTGGGGTCCTCGTGACTATCGTAACCAATGGTTGGAGACTCTTGGTGACATGGCTCAGAATCGATCACAATGGCGTCGGTGTATACACTCTCTTCCCTTAAACTAAGAGATAAAAATCTCTTCATATCTTTCTTTCTACTAACTAATTCTTTCTTTCTGTACTATATCCTTATTGCAATCTTTCTTTTATATATTACTACAAGTGAATTAACTACTTTTATGAATCCGGTGTCCATCTTGTTGTGTTAATGAGGTATGGCAACTTGGACTGATGCATATATGTGCCTGGTCCTACGTTGTAGCCGATTGACTGACTGACCCACCAAGTGAAATCAAAAGATAGAAGAGAGGAGGTTCGAAGATATACTTGATAGGCTATCAGTATATCGAGAATCGACTGATCTAATCTGGCTAGCGATCGCAGGGGATGTTGAGCACGGTGATCTGGTGCGGATACATGACCGAGCTCCTTCAGCTAGGTGAGCCTGTTAAAACTAATGTGGTCAGCATCCAATGTCGAAGACTTACAGAGCTATTGATTTTGGAGATTTATTTACCACTACTCTATCAGCACAACGAACATACAACCGAATAGTGAGAAAGGGGTAAAACAAATTAAATAATGTGAAACAGTCACGCTTATAAAAGAAATATACTTTCAATATTGATAATTCAATAAAGACGGGTCACACCAAGGTTAAACTGCGTTATAGACCATAACTGTTAACTTTGCTTTAACTGTCCTTTACATATTTCATGATTCTTCCAATTCTGTTATTATTTCAGTTACACTATGTTTCCCTCCCTGTTCTTTTCAATTCAACATTATTCTGGCAAGCATTCAATTCCAATTGCTGTTAAGTACTACTTATATCTGTCAGCATACGTAGCGTACACCACAATACAATCAGCTAATGAGAAACCACGAAATTGTCATTCTTCTCTTATATAAATCCATAAAGGGGATTAATTGTATAGAATTCAGTCATATATTTGATTAAAACACGAGCAGTGGTACTATAAACTTATTAGGTATCCGAATTTTTAGCTTCGTTGCTTTGTTCGTACCTAGTAAAAACATAGTTTGCATTTCTAATGATATCAGCTAATAGACAGCAATTTAATGATTTCTTAATCTTACATTTTCCTCTTCTTTTCAGATATCTTTAACCATCAGATGGGAATTACAAGATAGTTCAAATGAAGATATAGTTTGCGTTGAATTCCCTGTTCAACTTATATAAAGTACAATGTATAATGTAATTCATTCATTAGTTTAGTTAGTGTATAACAAACCATTTATCTTATTTTGCAATAAATTATGACAATGAGAAAACAGGGACAATCATAAACTTTTGGAGACTTATTTTTCATTTTTATCTATCAGGACAATACCTTGTTTGTTTATTTTTAATATAAAAAAAGACAGACAATAATAACTATTTCTTACTGATTTCATCTTTGATGCATTTTGTTTGATTGATTAGTAAAAATCTTTCTGATCAGAGAATGGTTTAGTGGAGATTGTAGTAATTTAGTAGTTGAATTATTGAGTCAACTGAAGCTAGACCAACATGGAAAATCTGGAAGCACCAGAAGGTCGTTTCATCCTGGCATGAGACTCATCAGCAGTGCACATTCACGAACTCGCTTCATGAGATTCAAACCCAGGACCAATCGGTCTCACGCGCGAACGTCAAACCTCTGGCTTCAACTAACTCAACTAGTAAATTACTACAATCTCCATAAGACCCTTTTCTGACAATAATCATCATATGCTCACTAGTGACTGTCTCGAAAAGGTATTTCCTTGAGATATAGTGATAAGCCGTGACGAGTGGAGTTTAAGCAGGTCTGTTGTGAGATAGTAACTGACTGAAGACAATGGTGGAGGGTGGGTGTTATGGCTTTAAGTTGCGGTCGATTTTTACCCTGTGCTAATTGTTGTGTCCTTGACTGGAAAATTAGAGAGCAGCGTACTTATCGATCGATTACAGTGACACGTAAACACGTACGGACGGCCTAGAGTCTCGATTGGTCTCGCTTCCCTGTCTAGCCCAGTCAGTTGAGTCCAGAACACAAGTCACAACCTGAGATATGAATCATTATATTTCAATCATACTTTGTTTATATACCAATCAAGCATACCACATCGTACCATAAAATAGAAAACAACATTTTGTACAATATTCAACAAGTGAACAGATATCGACCAATAGGAAATGTCCATTTAAAGTCCAAGGACACCATTGGACTTAACATGATAATTACTGGTCTATTCCTCCGCATCCACAACAGTGGGGCAATGTCGTGGATTGGTTGAAGTTAGATATTAACACTGATGGATTCCGTGTGGATGTTAAGCGTTGGTGTGCGAGACCGACAGTTCCTGTGTTCGGATCTCGTGGGTTGGGATCGTGGATGCGCACTGCTGAGGAGTCTCATACTAGAGTAAAACGGCCTCCAGTTTTTCCATGGTTGTCTAGCTTTAATTGACTCATGAGTTCAACTGTTAAAAATCTTTCTATTATTAATACATAAATAATGGATTTATATTGTTTTATCAGAATGGGTTTTGTGGAGATTTTTAGAAATTTCACAGGTTAAAATCATGAGTCTATTCTGGTTAGCGTATTTTTTTTATAGCGAAGTTGTTTCCTACGGCAATACAATGAACAAGTTAGATGCAACTAAACTATTTGAGCCTCGCAGATCATCTAGCTCTTCTATCACACACACCAGGAAATGCAGGTGATGACAACTAGTGTAGCAGCAGCCTCTGCATCACTAAGCCTCAACATACATAAGGCAAGAACCAAGATCCTCAAATGCAACACGGAAAACATCAACTCAATCACACTTGATGGAGAAACTCTGGGAGATGTGAGATGTTCCAGATATCTGGACAGCAGCATCATTGATTAACAAGAAGCATCCTATGCAGACGTAAAGGCGAGGGTTGGCAAGACAAGATAGTTCTACTGTACTGGACTGAAACTTGGAAAGCCACCAAAACCATCATCAAAGATGTACAAGTATTTATAAATGATTATCTACACAATATACTCAATGTTGATTGACCTGATACTATCAGCGACAACCCACTGTGTGAGAGGACAGACCGGCTTCCAATTGAATAGGAAATTAAGAAAAGACTCTGGAAGGTGGATAAGAGATACATTGTTGACACCATCAAACTGCATCACGAAGTATTCACTAACTTGGAATCATGAATGGAAACTGAGAAGAGGAATAAGTAAGTACACATTACATCGGGAATTCTAAGCAGATATGGAAAGAATGAATAGCAATTGGAAAGGATTATCAAGGACAGAGTTGTCTGGAAAATGCTAGTGATCGGCCTTTTCTCTCCTATTAGAGTAGGGTAAGTGGCGTAACTAAGTGAAAATAAGCGTTAAATTTTAATGATACAAAGTTTGTATTTAAATAAAATGTTTAAAATAACATTCAGTTCATTCATCTATCACTACAGTTCATAGTCATTGTCATTCGTTATATGAACTGTAAATATGCATCACTCAGATGTCATCTAAATCAACGTTATATTTTATACATGCCTATTATAATCATATACTGTATAATGTTTGTGTATTGTTTGTCTCAGTTAAGAAATAAATCAATAATACCTAAATAAGGGGGAATCAATCAGTGAGTTTCGAAGTCATTTATTTCCAACTGAATTATATTGTATATATGTATCTGTGTATGTCTGTTAGTGTGTATGTGTGTATAATTAACCATTAACCATTTTTTGAACAATAGCACCAGGGAAACTGTATAGAAATAAGAAGACAATTAAACAAACCAAGAATATGACAAAGATTTTGATCAATATCCATTTTAAACGATATTTGACTAAATAACGAAGAGTATTCAATGGTCCAAGGAATTTCATAAATGATGCATCTGGTCGACTAAATATAAAATAAAATGAAAACAATGATTAATAATTAATTTTGTCAAAATCAATACAAATTGAATACCATGATCAGACCTAAATGATGGACACACTGAAGACTAGAAAATACTAGAAAAAACTGTTCCAGTTTAGTAAAAGACTATTAATTATTACGCATTCACAATTTCACAGGAGATCAAACCCCATAACCTTTAGTTTCACGTATAGACGCTTAATTTTTAAATCACTAAGATAAAATTCCATATCAGTCAGTCAGTCGGTAACAACGTAGAACTTCGTACGTACGTACATCATTTTGAGTTGCCATAGCAAATTAGCACAGAGATGCAGTTGTCGATTCGAATGCCGTAGTGTTAGAGGTACTATTAATTATATTCGACAATTAATTAATTTAATCAAAACAGTTTACCCTATTCAGAAGTAGTTAGATAATTAAACCGGTTTATAATATTTTGAAAAAAAAATTCACATGCATCATTCTATAATTCAATTGTGGATGTCATAAATTTGGCAATAAACTAGAACTTAAAAGATAGACGATTTCGTGAAACAAATAGGACTATTATCCCTATCACTATTGTTTGCATGGATACAATTAAAATGATCAACATCTTGTCATCAATATGGTAATAAGTTTCAAAAATTTTTTGAAAATATTCGATATGAAATTTTTTCACTTGTTAAATATTGTGTATTTTTGTAGATAGAGTATGAGTCAGTCAGTCAGCTACAACGTAGGATCAGGCACATATATGCATCGGTCCAAGTTGTCATACCTCATTAACACAACAAGATGGACACCGGATTCATAAAAGTAGTTGATTAAGTTGTGGTAATATATAAAAGAAAGATCGCATGTAAGGATATAGTACAGAAAGAAAGAATTAGTTTGTAGAAAGAAAGATATGAAGCGATTTTAATCTCTTAGTTTAAGGGAAGACAGAGTGTATACACCGACGCCATTGTGATCGATTCTGAGCCATGTCACCAAGAGTCTCCAAGCATTGATTACGATAGTCACGCGGACCCCAACCAAGTAGTCTGCATCTCCCAACATGGCTCAGACTAGAAGTTAGTGTCGAGTATGAACAATAGGAAGCGACATCAGTTACTATGTTAAGCAATTTAGTCGTCTGGTATATTTGTTATTTTTGGTCGACGAATTCTATGTATATTGATTGAACGATCTAGATGTGTGTTTGTTAAACTACTAAGATCGTGGTGCCTACTAGACTGTCAGCTATAAGCATCAATGATTCGATGTAGTTTATTAAATAACAATGAGGTTTCATTATTGAAGATGATTCACCAAAAGTATTTGATTTTCAGTGATTTTAAACGACTAGCCGTTCGTGATGGGATTTACAAGCGAGAGAGAAAAATCAAAGTTGTATGAAAAGTTTTAGATTGGTTGAGTCATACTGATTGGCTAGACCAGTATAAGTATTTCATGTGCTTTGATTAACAGGATCGTGAATATATAGAGGCTGATTTCCCCTATATCTGACTCCAATAAATAGTATCCCGTTAACTGAGTATTTAATTCAGGCAAAATCTCCTAGTAGAATTACGGATTTACTCGAGATTATTCAAAAGCCTGAACACCAGTTTATAGAGATAGTTTATTGTTAAAGATTGGTAAAATCCGCAAGCGTACAGGAAGCAAGCACACAGGGAAACCAAGTATGTGTTTGTGTGTGTATTAAAAATCCATATATATTTATGAGTGTTAAGTGGTTGTGGATAAATTATTGATTGTCTGTGTGTTACAATCAATGGGAGAATAGATTAAAGATTCATGTGCAACCATGTGCTCAATCAAACTCACACAGAAAATTACATAGAGGGTTAAGTGTCTATATTATGGTGAGCAGATAAATAATACAGTAGTTGAATAGGGTTACTACAAATACTCACTCCTGGGAAGTCCTATACTAGAACGGAATGGCCATCCAGTGCCTCCAGGTGAGGGTTGGTAATTGTATTTTAATATTTGAAAGATTTATTATCAGTATTTTTGACTTCATGTGACTAATTCCGATGCTCAATTATAAATAAACATATTTCTTCAAAGTTCTATCCGTATAATTAACTTAATGTTAGAAGTGATATAAATCTTATAGTTTACATTACGCATTGACATTAGCTGATGATAAATATTTTTTGTGATGTCCCAATGAGTAGCAAAATGTATTTCTGAGGGTTTGTCAATTTATGTAAGCCACTTTTTCAGAGTGGTTAGACAGCCATTGAAAATTGGGGAACCCTGAACAGCTGCTTTTTGTCAGTTTAGAACTCTCATACAGTTCATATCGATGAGCAGGCCACTGAAGATAAGTTTGTTATTTAAACTATAAGATTCAATATTCTTCACAAATTCATATGCTAAGATTAATCGTGTATTCACAAATTGCCGGGTTTTTTTTTGACAAGTCGTGACTAGTGAGATTCGAGTATGGTATTGGATCCCAACTCAATGATTTAAAGAAGTAGCTTTCGTCTCTAGGTCTAATAGTCCTGGGATCAGTCTATAGTAGGTTTGCGAATGCACACTGCTGAATAGCCTTATACCAATATAAGGCTATTATCCAATTCTTCTTGGTTTCCAGTGGCAGTTTAACTATGGTCAATTAGCTACATAAACCATAAAATCCAACAATCTCGATAAATCATTATGTTAAATGTATGATATTGTCTACTACTCAGTAATCAGTCTGTGTAAACATCTCAATCATATAACTAGTCAATTACAACTGGAATATATAAGGGATATCGTCTCTAACTAAGATATTGATTAACGTCGATTTTAATACCACATTGATTATCAATTGCCATAAGACTGAAAATACAATTTCTACATGCTAATAAATTTGTATGAAGCATTGATTCACCTTTGTAAAACATCCATCAACCTAATAATAATAGTAATCATTATTTGTATAATCAAAAATAACTTACATTGGTAACTATTTATGTTACCATGGTAATACATATACATTAATAAATCAGCAGACCAGCAACTATATTTAATGTAATATAATCATCAAATCAAATGTGTATAGTTGTGCATTTAATTGTTTGTGACTTAAAAATTTAACTTAGATGGATTGATATTAACTAAAATTAGTATTTGTATAGCATGAATAATACATCATGTATTCATACATGTATACACATGTGTTAGAGACAGATTTTTATATTAGATACATCACTTCATTATAAAGATGATTGGAATTATATAATGAAAGTTTAGTGCATGATAATTAAATTATGTATGAAGTTGTTTTGAATGATCGATTAGTTTTAAATTTTACATAAGACGAATTCAATGATCAATTCAATCTACTGAATAATTGAATTTGAATAGTTGAATTCATGAGTCAATTGAAACTAGATCACTATGGAAAAGCTGGAAGCACCAGAAGGTCGTTTCATCCTAGTATAAGACTCATCAGCAGTGCACATTCACGATCCCACTTCACGAGATTCAAACCCAGGACCAATGGATCTCGCACGCCAACGCCAAACCTCTGGCTTCAATTGACTCATAAATTCAACTAGTAAATTACTACAATCTCCACAAAACCCCCTTCTGACAATAATCATCATATGCTCACTAGTGACTGTCTCGAAAAGGTGTTTCCTTGAGATATAGTGATAAGCCGTGACGAGTGGAGTTTAAGCAGGTCTGTTGTGAGATAGTAACTGACTGAAGACAATGGTGGAGGGTGGGGCAATGTCGTGGATTGGTTGAAGTTAGATATTAACACTGATGGATTCCATGTAGATGTTAAGTGTTGGTGTGCGAGACCGACAGTTCCTGTGTTCGGATCTCGTGGGTTGGGATCGTGGATGCGCACTGCTGAGGAGTCTCATACTAGAGTAAAACGGCCTCCAGTTTTTCCATGGTTGTCTAGCTTCCATTGACTCATGAATTCAACTATTATAATTACTAAAATCTCTACATAACTCTATTCTGATAGTAGTTGAATCGTTTCTTAATCTTGTAGAAAAAGCAGACAAAAATAAACATTTGAGTACTAATAAAACAATAACCATGAATATTACTTTATTGTGTTAGTCGTCTACAATTTATAATCTCTTTAAATATCATAATGAGTTTGATTATTTTATTTGTTTATTTATTTGAACACAAATATTGGTACAATAGGGCACCAAATATATGTGCGCCACACCATATTTGTGTATGTGGGCTGTGACACTGCCCAGGTGCCCAGATCGAAGCAGATGGTTTTTTTTGTAGGGGGCCACACCCCGAGCCTTTGACCTAAAGGTCTGACCCACAAGGCAGTGGAGCATCGTGGGGAGATGCAGTCCCATGGTAGCCGGTGACCAACGATTCGTTCATACGTCATTTGTTCCCTCAGGATACTGGAGCCCATGTGCACCATTGGTTTGGGATCCGGTTAAAGTGCCGGACATTCTTTTTTCGTCCTCTCATTTTCGTAAACAATACCCCCGCCACTAGAAGGCAGTGAGTAGGACTTCCCTGGCAGAGACTGTATACGCGTGTCCGTGTGAGAGTGTTTCGATAGGGAGAGCGGACTCTCCCCACTCTCGGCCATACCAGGGCATTTGGGGGCAATGAACCCGATTTTAAAGATCAACTCCTTAAAGATTGTACAAATACCATCTTGATAAGTGTCAACTAGCATGAAATCTAGATTTAGGGTTTTTTGTTAAATACCTTCGATCCAATTAACATTTTATGTGTGCTTATGAACTACTTAATGAGAATCAAAATATCATTAAAATGAATCCATATTTATTTGGCTTAAAATAGCTAGTTGTATATAACGGTACTATAGATTAGAAAGTCAGTCCCTAGATTTTGTTGTCAAGATATACCTAGTTAGTAGATAATCAAAATATACTATGCAATCTCTGTCACTACCTAAATTGAAATAAAGTATCGAACGAAGTAGATAGATAATACAGAAAGTTACATTATAGTTTCAGCAAAATGCTACATTATTCACCAATTGAGATGATTGAAAAATGGATGATATCAGGAGATGGTTGGAGAGATCGGAAAACCCACATCTTGGTGGTGTTAAGTAACATAATTAACGATTAAAGGTAAATGAAAAAAAACGTTTTATCTATATTTATTGTCATAAACCTTGTAGGCTTCCATACATAGGACTACTTATTATTT